AAAATATTATAACGGCTTCCGGTCCTCTATAGTATAGCGGATAATAGGGGACTAGCGTCGAGGTTTTAGTTTAAAATAAGAAGAGGATATTAACTAAAGAGTAGTAACTATTATTCGTAGTGTTTAATCGTAATTACGTCGTAAAGACTAGGCGTCTTCTTTATAAGGTAGAGTCAGGCGTAGACTAATAGTCCAGGTAAAGACTTAGATTAATCGATATCTTATTCTCTAATAGAAGTAAGACCTAGGATACGCTAGTTTATATACTGGTGGTGCTTCCTTACCCGTAGTGACTATTCCTTGCGTGGTCGCTATGCCCAGGTGATTCTGTCGTGACCGATCACTTATTAGTCACTTCGTCGGAGTGATCGACCCCGGTCCGTCCCGGACAGTACACTAAGTACCTTTATACCTGGTGACACGTGACCTGGCACGTGACTCCCCGAGTTACCCTGTGCTGTCCCCCGTCCAGGGCCGTCCCGTGGGATATACACCAGTGTACCTATGGGGTTGGTCTATGTTAGGCGGCCGGCCGTAACACGGTGCTGCTTAGCGTATCGGGCCGCCTCTTACTATTATTTCTAGCCCAGCCGATTTCCTATTTTCGGGCATTCTGCTTAAACGACGAAGAGCAGCGCCTCTTCGAATATTATAAGTCAGGCACTTTTCTTTCATTCCGTAACCCTATCTAATAGTCTATGCATAGTCATCGACAAGTATTACAAAAGCCGCACACTCTATCTCGATAAGAAACACAACTCTCTTCTCTACGCTATTCCGCCTAATCCGCCTAAGGCATTCACGGCAGCTATCTTCTACCTCACCTCTCTTTACGTCGGCGGCCGGGAGTTAGCCTATTTTCAATAAGTTATTCTATTCCTGAAGGAAACCTTATAAAACGGGATACAGGATTCTGAAATTCCGGTTTTTGCTAGCATTCTCCGTCTCCTAATCCAATACCACATTATTAAGCGGGACCAGGACAAAACATAGGTCTTCTATATCGAGGGCTTCCGCGCCTTATAATACAGAATTTTGGAGCACGCCGAGGCACGAAATATATCCACACGGATCACCTACGAGAGCATTCTAAAGTTCGCCCTAATATTTAAGGACAGGCAGGGGCTAAACGGTGGCTTATCTATCGACTATCTTCTGACTTTAGAATATCCCTAGGAGATACGAGACTACGGATATTCCCCCGAGGTCCTTTATCTCCTAGGTTATATCAATATAGCGGACTATAAAATAAGCAGGGATTTATTATATAGTGTTAAAGTAGCTTATTCGCTCCTCGCTAGATATAAGAACATCGACTAGATAATACCTAAGACTGGATAACGCGGTAAGGCTATCAAAATAATAGCAGAATCCTATATCTATATAGCCCGCTTTCTTATCTATTAGCGTCTTCTAAGTTCTGGGATATGCACCTCCTCGGTGCTGAAAGCAGGAGATGTTCTCGGTAAATGTGTTCGTGGCATCCCCGCTAAAGGCGAACTCTTCACTGCTTAGTATCTACTCGCCTTAGCATTCTGGGCCATTCTCTTTAGCCCCGAATACGGACAGAAGTGTTATGACTTCTTAAAGACTATTTAGACAGATCGTCCTATAGTGGGTATACCCGACCGATCTTAGAGAAAATATGGTTGCTAAGTCTAACAGAATATCACTCACGCCTTGCGTGTTGCTGGGTTAGCCCGCGGAAAGTCTCCGATAAGTGTCTGCGCAGGGGAGAAACGAACGCTATATAGTAAGTGCAGCTACGGAGTATGCCGTGGTGGGACGGCGTTAAAGCGGTTAGGCGATGTCATGGAATCACTCGATATAAAGGAGTTGAGCCTTAGTTAGAGCAGTTCCTCGTTAAAGAATATATACAAAACTGTATCCGCTTATATAGCACGTCGCGATAGCGTCGTGCTCCCTATTCCCCGCTAGTATACTAGAGCCTATATTCGGCCCTACTCCGCGGTCACGGCACCGCCCGATCCGCCTTCCTCAGGCATATCACCACCAATTACAACCACACCCGTCTAGCCGACCCGACGCTACATCACAGCTACCAGAACGGTTTTTTTCTTTTCTTTTCTCCATTCTTTTTTTTTCTGTTCTATTACGCGCAGGCAGCCCTAAGGCTGTAGCGGACTAAAGTACTAAGGCTATGATCCTGAAAAGAAGCTAAATACACTATAACTAGTAGTAGTCGTAAAATCGATAGTAGCAAAGGAAATCCTTTATAATAGTCTGCCTAGCCTAATATATTTGAACCTTGTACTCTAAATCCTGGAGAGCTTTGCATAGCGAGACTATGGAACCCTCCGATTTCGATGTAGAAGCCGTTATAGTGAAATCGATTAACCCAACTAATACCTCTTGGCCGGTGCCTCTATTTTCTCTACCTAAGGAGAGCGATAAGGAGAGCGAGGTGGACTCGATAGGACTAAAGATCGATTATGGGTGCACTATTTATTCACTAGGAATACCTGATCCATCGCGTCCTGGAAGATAAAACCGAAGTATGTAGCTGGAAACACATATTTCAATAGGTAGGAAGCTCCCTACCGCGGGAGGAACGACCACCCGAATCCACTATTCTGGGCATGAAAGATCGTGGGCACCGTGGAACACGGGTGATCAATATGAGAAAAAGCACAGTTTCGTCTGTAGGGCTTGTTAAAGGCGTGCATCGAGATGTTTATCGTCAAAGGGTCGGTCTAGTGCGCTTATATATAGGGGTTAGTCATGGCTTATAGACGCCGTGGCTGAGACCTAACTAAGCTCGTTATGGGAGATGTTAGAGGAATGGCTGGGTATGGAGAGTACGCACGCTATGCCAGATTAAATAGCACGGTTGGCCGTGCTATTCTCCGGCATGTCGTGCTTTTCGCCGGAACAACCCTTTACAACGACACCCCTCCTTTACCAGGAATTCAGGATGCCTAAGTGTCAGGGTGTACACCGCGGATTAAGGCTTCTTTTGGAAGAATTTCGGAGTTTTTGGAGGACCTCTTAGGTGAAGCCATTGTTAGTATCCCGTTTCTGATCCAAGGTGCCTATAATCGGCAGCATAGAGCATAGAATCATGCATGGCGCCGGAGGGCATATAATGATACACCTGCACTAAGGCGCTAGCTACCCTTGTCGTTAAGGAGCACCCGCATAGCACCCTGGTCACCATTCTTTTGGTTGGCCTACTCTTTGCAGGTTGTTAGGTTGCCCTCTTTGTCAAACTGGTATTCTGGACCTTCCCTCCTCACCTTGAATGTAGTGCTGGAATGACATATGACATATCCTTCAATTAAGGGTGGACTGATCCAATCGCCACTTGGCTAAGTAAGCTTCGGACACCCTAGAATGAGGCGGAAAGTGGAGACTCCTGATATACCGACTCCGTTAGCTAAGCACCCCTGCCTCTATTATCCTTTCCCCCCGTTATGCTTTCCCCCTATCATACTTTCGTACTTTTCCCCTACATCACGGTTTAGTTCAGCGCTTTGTGTGTTATTAAATAAGCTTTTCCTAAGGCTGGGTTTAATTAGGCTTGTAGTGGCCTATAGCGCGATTGGAGAAATAGCGTAAATGTTAGTAGAGCTTTAAGGCAAGAGAATCAGGCATATATACGTGTACGAGCAGGGATGGAGCTAAAAGGCGGGGCATAAGCCTTATAGTGGTAAGGTAGGAGTGTTTAAACTAATAGGAGTTTAGGACGCGCTATACTTTTTATCATCTCTAAACAAATATTTTATATTAGTGCTATATCTATCTAAGGGGAGTCTATCCTAGAGTCTATTTGCCTACCTAGACTTATAATATATAACGCGCATTATATAATAACGCTATATTCTAGGATAGTCTAGATACTATCGAGATATAAACTAGCGGTAATAGCCGTAATTAAATTCCCTTTATATATAACCTGGTTTTAGTAGGTTATTCTAAAGTATATGAACGTTAAGAGAGAATAAAGAATAAGCGTACCTGGATCTACTTATATATCGGGAATATTAAGATAATGTTAATAAGTAGTTATAGTAAGATAAGTGTATTTTATATAAAAAGGCAGCTTATTAAATTCTATATAACGGGTAAATAGGGAAGAAGGGCTATAAAGATAAAATAAGCTACTCGACCCTCGGTATCCTATTTTATTAATATAGTAGGTATAGGGTATATATAGTCTTTATCTTTTAAATAAATCTGTATAACCGCTATAGTAGCTAGGAGCTATTAGAGTTATTTACGCTCTTATACCGATATATATAACTCTTTTAAAGCTTATTATAAATAAGGCTAGTGTATATCCTATCTTTTAGCTTATTAGTCTTAAGCTAATAAGCTAAGTCTAATATTTATTACTACTATAGCTATCTTCCTTTTTAAAATTAAGTAAGGCTAAATTTACGAGGTTAAACTTAGAAATCTTAGAGTTTTTATCTTTAAGGCATAATAGTCCGGAGAAATATACTATTATAGTTACTTAGTAGGATACCCTTTTTCTGAGTAGTTAACGAGACTAACTATTTTACAGGATATTATCCTTAAATATAAAGACGGCGCCTGGGTTAGTATTTTAAGCCCCTAGGCTATTTAGTTAGAGCTAGATAGATATTATAAGAGCCTGAAGGAAGGAAGTTTTGAGATAATTAAGATGGGTTTCGCTGAATCTGGGTAATGGTTTGAGGCAAGGAGTGGCTGGTGTGCCGTATGATGGGAAGTCAATAGGGTGAGGTTAGTCCGACTGGGGCACTACTTCGTACTGACAGCGCCCGATGCCAGCCGGTGCCACCTCCGCTTCTACCTAGATTCATACACGTAACCTACCTTCCTACCACACCACTAATTGACGATATCTTCGGTTCGTTCAACCTCGCTGCACTTGTCCTGCCAATTGTGGGTGCTATACGTGGTTGGGAAACCCTGCATCTTGTTCAGTGTTTGGTTTCTGGAGCTGCTACGTTTGAGTATGGGATGTGGATGTGGTGCCGCGAATGGTGGCGTAAGACGTATTATGTGGGCAACCAAGATTGGGACAGGTACTCTTCGGAATTTGCAGGTTTGTAAGCGAACATTATACATTAGTTTCTTAACTATATCATCCCCTTGTGTTTCACTGTCTCACAATTCCTTGGATGCTTCAAGGACCAAACTGCTATAGGAGAAGCAATATTTATATCGCCCTTTGTGGCTGCCCTGTCGATACAGAAAAAAAAAAAAACCTCGCTTATTCTCCCCGTTGGCGTGATTATGGCCAAGCGGATTCCCGCGTAGCCGCAGCCTCCCATTTCTAACAGGAGGCAGCTCGACCTAATCTGGATCTTGGTCGAGGAATACACGTGGCTATCCGTGGCAGGAAGAGTTTCTTGCCCCCCATAATCTATTCCCCTGCTTTTCTCACCTCCTCGCTCTGCGTTGTGGACATAGAGCTCTCTTAATGCACCAGCTTCTCCCAGCTTCGTCTCCCTATTATCTCTTCACAGTGAAAAGGGCGGTCTGGAGCAGGGTCATGCATATGCAAGTGCATGACATGGATTCATGAACCCAGCACACAAGAACTTGAACCCCTCCTTTCCGGCCGATGGGGGTTAAAGGGGGAGGGGGAGGCCTGAAGTTGTATATAAACCAAGATGAACTGCAAAGCAGCGGAATGGCTGTCTGCAGCTCCAATACAATGACCTGTACCTCATTATGTCGCACTCTAAGCAGTCCCCATTGATCGATCAATCACCAGCAGCTAGATGGGCAGCGTGGAGCCTCGTCGTGATCTACTTGCTCTGCTTTTTCGGACACGCTCTTGCCTTTCTCATGGATAAGTTCCTTAACGGCAACCAGGTCTTCTCGCTCACGATACTCCTCGCCACGCCTGTGATACTAAGAGCAATCTGGAATATTTTGGGCGCTCCAGTGTTGCAATGCACGCTATCACTAGCATGTTTTCAGTCTAAATCCATTTACGACAAGAAGCTTGGGCGTAAAAGTAATACCTTAAGCAAATTGCTCAGCGATATTCAGAAGGTCCCGCCGGTTATTTTCAAAGTCATTTTAGCTTTGATCCTTGCATGCCTAGTGCATTGGCTGCTCCAGTCGGTGTCGCAAGCACTGCATCAGCATTTGGTGCATGCTGGTTCAGTTTTAAGGCGTTGAATCGAGAGATCACCGATATCAAATGGGTCGCTGATAACGAAAGGTTTGTTGCATAGCACCACAGATATCGTGAGCTTGACTGACTTTGTTTGTAGAGAAGGAGCGAAAAAACGTCATCAATTCATCCAGCATGGGAACCCTTGTCGAGTTGGGGGCGGTGAGAGTTCCTGTCAACCAGAAGACGGTGCGATATCTTCTGGACCCGGAGGCAGCACAACCTCTTGTCCAACTGGAGTCGATGCTTGCAAATCGGCGATGGTGGGTCGGTTTTATCAAACTGGCATGGCAAGCTGGAGCAGTGGCGTTATTCGTGGTAGTTTCTTTAATGAACCCGGATTCCATCTTTATCATGTTTGCACTTGCAACCGATGTCATCCAGATCACAGAGGTTTGCGATAGTGGAACAAGTGCTTGGGGAAAAAGCCAGGAGCTCTCTAATGTTGTGAGAGGATGTGGCGTGTACCTTTGTACGGAGATGGCGTGGCGAACAGTTTTCATGTACCTGGTTAAGGGTCGCGATTTGACTGAGTATATTGAGGCCCACAGAAGGGAGGAGGAGAATTACGGTCGAAGGGTTACGAGATCTCGATAATCAACTTGCCATTATCGCTACGGTGAACATACTAATCACCTATGTCGGTGGGAGAACCAATCCTCTGGTCGACCTTCTGGGGCCGTTCGCGAGGTTATTAACGAGGCAATTCGGCGTATGTCCCAGCTTCCTATCTAGCCTGGCGATTTTTAACCTCTATCTAGCTGGACGTCTCTGGCTCGGCTAAAGTGGGCGTGGCATAAGTAAAGCCGTTGTATGTCTCGCTGCTTCCATTATTGCTTTTCGTCGTTACCTTTCGCCGCGTCTCGTCGCTGCAATACCTACTTTTTAATGGCATATTGCAGATGATAATCTGTTCTATCTTAGAGATCAAGTGGATAAGGTAGCTTAGAAATACGAGGCGGCTCGTGCCTCACGATTCGGAAACACGTTGAAATATAAAGAGACGAGGTTTGCGTTATTGTTTCGTAACTTAGGTTTGACAAAATTGAGTTACACTAATAAAGAAATCGACCTCCACCCGATACGCCCTTAAACCCATCATACGGCACACCAGCCACTCCTTGCCTCAAACCATTACCCAGATTCAGCGAAACCCATCTTACTCATCTTAAAACTTCCTTTCTTCAGGCTCTTATATTACCTATCTAGCTCTAACTGAATAGCCTAGGGACTTGAAATACTAACCCAGGCGCCGTCTTAGTGTTTAAGGATAATATCCTGTAAAATAGTTAGTCTCGTTAACTACTTAGAAAGAGCGTATCCTACTAGGTAACTACGATAGTATATATCTCCGGACTATTATACCTTAAAGATAAAAACTCCAGGATTTCTAAGTTTAACCTCGTAAATTCGGCCTTACTCGACTTTAAAAGGGAATATAGCTATAGTAGTGATAAATATTAAACTCGGCTTATAAGCTTAAGACTAATAAGCTAAAAGGCAGGATCTATACTAGCCTATTTATAATAAGATTTAAGAGGGTTATATATATCGGTATAAGAACGTAAATAACTCCTAGCTACTATACTAGCCACGAAGATTTATTTATAAGATAAAGACTATATATGCCCTACCCACTATCTTAATAAAATAGGATATCTATCTTTATAGCCCTCCTTCCCTATTTATTAATCCTATCTTATTTAATAAGCTACCTCTTTATACGAGATATACTCGTTTTACTACGACTACTTACTACCTTAATATTATCTATATATAAATAGATTAAGGTACGCTTATTCTTCGTTCTCCCTGTCTATTAACCTGCTTTAGAATCACCTACTAAGACCAGTTTATATATAGAAGGAATTTTATTACGGTTATATCCGCTGGATTATATCTTAATAGTATCCAAACTATGTCAGGACACAGCTTCGTTGTCCAGTACACGTTATATATCGGGAGTTCAGGTAGGTGAATATACTCTGGGACAGACCACCCTTGGATAATATAGCACTAACGCAAAATATTTGTTTAGAGGTGATGAAAAGTGCAGTGCGTCCTGAACTCCTCTTGGCTTGAACACCCCTGCCTTACCACTATGAGGATTATGCCCCGCCTCTTAGCCTCTTAGCTCCCTCCCTGCTCGTACATATGCCTGATTCTCTTGCCTATAAAGCTCTGCTGACATTTTACCCCATTTCTCCAAACGCGCCATAGGCCACTGCAAGCCTAGTCAGACTCAGCCTTGGGAAATGCTTATTCGACGGCACACAAAGCAATGGACCAAACCGTGAGGGGGGAAAAGTACAAAAAGTATGATTAGGGGGAAGAACAACGAGGTGCAGGGGAAAGCAAATAGCCGTGGAAGCCCAGCACTGCTGTCTTGGAGTTGGCCGAAGTGACGTGATCGTCACCGTCCCTTCTAATATTCTCGGATCCGTCGCCTTATCCATTACGGTATTAGAATTCAGGACGAATAACAAAAGAGGAAGAAGATCTATTAAATAAAGAGAACACCGATGCTGCCTGGAGGATGCCATCTATAAACATAAGGCTTCCGACCCATGGTAATGATGCCTCACCGCCTAAATACGTTGCCTGGTTGGGAAATGGGGTCGAGCTCTATTTCCTCCTGTGTTTAGGCATCATCCTTATCCAGGGCCGCGGCGGACAGAACCTGAGAATTTCCCGGTAGTATGTTCCTGGTCGAGTTTGCTGATGGAAGGCGAGGAATCTGTGTCCGAGACCTCCCGATTTCAATATCGGGATAATGCTGTTGATGACCAAAACTCTGTGACCATACATCAGGGTACCGCCATGGACGAAAGTGGAAGCAACTCACCAGCTCTTCCAAAGGAAGACATTGCCGTAGCAGGAACCACGCGTATCTCTCGGAGCTGAGGATTATGACGAGCAGGCACTGCGGGAGGAGATGCACCTGGGATAACCCGCTAAGGTGGATGAACAATAGCACCACTGATGCCAGGAAGACGAAAAAACTCAAAAGAGTTAAAAGGCCTAGCCGCTATCGAGATGCCTTTGCCTGGCTACGTAACTAGACCCTATTGCCCGATAAAATTATAAGGGTAAAATAGCATAGCGTCGGTGCGCCCCATAGCCATTCATCGCCATTCTCTACTAACTGCCACGTACTAAACCCAATAAAGAACCCTAGAGGAGGAAGGCTCCCCTAAAAGTATATACGCAGAAATCTCTATATACTACGCGGCTTTTCCTTAGTAATAGGGAGGGCTTCGTAGAGACTTAGAGTTATAGGGTATACCTACTCTATAAGCTAGAAACGAATTAGAACTATTCTATACTAGCCGAATTCTAATATATCTATATACTAAGGATAGCAAGGCCTATTATATCTTTAGAAGCTATCAGTAATCGACTATTATAATTATCGAATATATATACGATTATATAGGTAAGTCCGAGCGCCGATAAGCTAAACTAAGTTAAGATACAAAGCTAATAAACCACGCCTTTCAAGGGCTTTTTCGTATATATAGAATAAGAATAGTAGAGCTAAAAGGCGAAGACGAGGGCTACCGTTATATAAGCCTCGATAACTATATAGTTATTAGGCTATATCTTAGAAGCGGTAAAGATTAAGATAGAGAAAAGTAAAGAAGAAGGTAAATAAGGTATTACGGGAGCTTATAGTTTACCCCTATATAGTTCGCCCGGTAATATAAGGTTTTTATATCGGTTACTTAAAGCGCGGAGACTCCGTTTAGCTAGTATAGGATTTAGATTTATTAAAGCTTTTATAACCTTAAGCTAACGCTAAAACGCGAGATTATCCTTAGGTATAAGTTAGTTCCTAGGCGATACTATATTACTTAGTCGATTCGGCGTAAAGTAATAGACTAGGATTAATAATATATATATACTTTGTATTAATATACTAACCTCCGGATATTACCCTTACTAATATAAGTATAATCCGCGGTCGGTTATAGATATCTTAACTATACTACCCCCTTAACCACGATTACACGCTATTCCTTTCCTAGAGGGGGCTATTTCCCCCTCTCTAAGTTGTAGCTACGACCTCTCTAAATACGTTTAAACTAAGTGCCTATCACTTAGTCGCCGAAACTTATCCTAATCCTTATATACTTAAACTTAGCTATAATGAATCTTCGTAGGCACTAACTATATAGTAATCTATTATGCTGCTAGTATATATCCTAACTCGAGGCACGCATTTAAGAGTACGAATCACACGTGGCTGGACTCGAATACTAGCTTAGACTTCGCTAACCTTAACTTAAGCCGGCTAAGGCCCTTCCTAAGGATATACCGGCCCTAAATAATATAATAACAACAAAGACGGGCACACTGACCATCATTGAGTGGACACTCGAAAGCCATCCAAACCGGGAATAACCTGGCATCCTAGAAAATAACGATAACCCTAATAGGTCTAGGCTATAGGTCCTCACGCTGTTAAGCGCCCTTTCCACGATTAGTAACTTCGTTGACCGTATCCCCTAGAATAAGAAGCAGTGGCAGCAGAAAAGGTCGGAGCTGGGCTTAGATACGGAGGAGGGTATCCTGTAAGCGTTTAACGATATCCTCTCGCCTTAAAACATCGCTCAGGTAACGCCCGCAAATTCTACCTAAACATCACTGAGCATCTCTAACTATCTCGCCCGCCGCGCTATAGAGGTAGGCAAAGCGGGTTACGAGGCCCGCCGCGCCGTGGCCTTATCGGTGTTCGGGGGCCTAGTGTTTCTAGGAGAATGCCTCGTTACGCTTAAGTTAGGTGTTAAAACAGAAGACGTGAACAAATCCATAAAAGACTTTCTAGGCAGGTTACGATCAATAACCTATAAAGCAGACGCAAAATAATTACAAAAATATCGGCATATAGCTATATAGATCATATAGCAGATACGTGTCCTATATAAGGATTTCCGCCACCGTGCCTTTAAATTGCTTCTCTATAGTATATTAGTCGCCCCTACGTCTTTGTATTAATGCTCATCGGCTCCTTAGCGCTAACCTATATTACGGCGTACGACACGTTAGCGAGATCCAAAAGCAACCATAAATTCCGAGACGATATTCTAAAGCTAAAAAAAACCCTCCCGAGCTTGCATTCAATCATAGCTAAGTTCTAGTCAAAGTTGCCTTTTAATCCTGTGTTTTGTGTCTAGGCTAACCTTCGTCGAAGGTTAGGTGTGGATTATTATAAACAGGTCTACGATACCCTATAGACGACCCATATTAGTCACAAGCAGTGCGAAATATAGTACTAAGCCCTAACTTAAGAGACGCCTAATATCTGCCGACGATTAATTTAACCGCCGATATTAGACTAGCCTAGAAAGCGACGGAGAATAACGTTTAGTAGCACGAGGAATCCGCCTAATAAGGAAGGAATTTAAATCCATACCCAGGGCACACCTATCCGAGAAAATAATATAACCCGGTAATACTAAGTGCCTCCTTTATCATAACTCTCTCCTATCACTATTATAGATAGGGAAACACCACGCAGAACTAAAGAATACCAATCTTCGGCCACGAGCTTCTCGTCCGCTACCGTGGATATTCTAACGTAATTTACCGAGATCGGACACACTCTAGCCCTAGGCGTCGGAATTAGAGATACTCCAGATATATATAAAGGAAGTCTACGTCGAAACCAGGCCTTACCCACGTAATCCGATACTAAAATAAGCGGACTCGATTCGCACCTTTATTCGATAAGGCGGGAGGAATACGAGGATAGAATTCGGATTCTACGGGAAACAGAAGCTTTTACTCGGGAGTCCCGTATAAGGTCTACCGCTTCCAATAACAGGGTAAGCTCGCCTCCTACGACCGAATCTACGTCTACACGTAGCTAGGAGTAGACCGAATTTTTTTATAGCCACTCAGGCAGGGTTTAGACAGCATAAAAGATATCGCCTCTCCACTTACTAGCTATTATAGCCGGACAGGATTATACGGGGCAGCGTACAGAGCCTATTCTAACCCTTAGACCTATAGAACCGATCTTAGGAAGCTTAGGCAGCCCGTATAGGTTTTCGCCGTATAGTGCCGAAAATACTATATTACGATCCTAGCCTAATCTATTAGTCGGCCCGGGGGTTAAATCTATAGAGTAGCCCTCGGTAAGCGGCCACTCTAATACCTCCGGCCTTATTACTCTTCTAAAAGCTATATCGGAGGGGGATATATTTCAGGGCTAAGAGTATACCGGCAGCGCGAACTATAGTAAGGGTGCTCTACAGGGTAACTTTAATAGTCCGAGGCGGCCGGTAGCTAGTATAGAAACTATTTTCTCTAACGACGTAGATTAGGCTTTATAGGTAAACCTCTAACCGGTTCGCGACCTCCTAACCCCCCTCTTTTACTGGCTTTATAAATAGCATCAAGATAAAGTAAATTTGACCTTTCTCCACCTTGAGATATATACCTTCTTCGAGCTTAAAGGGCTAAGACTAATTATCTATATTATAAAGGTCCCTATTACCCTCTGCTATATAAATAGTAATAATAGGCTTTATCTATTAGGGCACTAGGATAGGTATAACGGCGCTTATTCTACTATTTAGCGTAGATAGAGAGCTATATCTAAGTTAAAATACACCCCTTATTATATTAACTTTGTCGCCTCCGACCCACCGCTTAATATCAGATTTCTTATTAGTTAGACTAGCTATTCTGTTAAATCAGCATAGACATACCATGTCTTTAATAACCCGTTTAGTTATATCCTTAAGTGTCTTAGGCGATAACTTTATCTTGAAGAGCTTCACGTCTTTATCCTCTATATTAACTCTCTCGCCGGTTTAACTATTTACGGGTATCTCTTCCGCGGCCTTCCTGGCTAACACTTAGAGCGCCGAGGATACGGTGATGGGTTCTATGATATAGAGGCGCTAGTGCTGCTTATCGTGAGGGTAAAACTATAAAAGTGTATAGAGACGCTTAAAATTAACGAGCTAGTACTTGAAGCACGGTATAGTGGGATCCTAAAAGTCTGCTATGGGAGCCTGAAATATAGTAAACGCCTATTAGTGGTGTGGTTTGAAATCGCGTAAGTTCTCGGGCTGCTAATATACAGATCTGGGTTAGGGAAACTTCTGAATAAAACTTCTGAATAACGCCGGTATCCGTAGTATCCACCTAATAGGTCACGTGCGAACTACTCTATTAGAGGCTAATAGTAGCGCCTGCGATACTCAATATCTAGGTACCGTACCGTCGAGCCCTTAGTTTAATAATATTTCGACTAGTAATTCCGGATAGAATACACTTATATTAGTGCACGGTAGGATAGAGGGAATGAATCTTTCTGAAATATTTTGCCTTAGTTATAAAAGGAGTAGAGGTAGAATGCTAGGATAATGCCCGGCTCTCTGCAACATAATTATTCAATCTAAAGTCATAGTTTCCGTGCCCTGCATAATCTTATCTATAGAAACTATACTACCACTTTAGCTTCCGTCTTACTTCGATATATTATCCGCGGACTCGTTTACGGGCTATTTATCTATCTAATCTAATGACGAAGGATCGTTATCCTTCTAGGAGTTTAGCTCTATAGTGGTATTCTTAGCTAGATTATTGCTATCCACAGAGTCGGCACCCTTAGTAGCGGTAGGAGGACTTTAAGAATCTTTAGGCGGGTTTTCCGTAGTCCTGGTCTTGGTTAGGCTAATAGCAGGAGCGCCGGCTCTCTCTATAGAAGTGCCGTGGTCTGCTATAATAAAGGTGCTATTAGTTTATAGGGTTAGGTATAAGCTATGCGTAAGAGATATATTAGTAAGGAGAGATAATAACTAAGGGAAATCGATTATATCCTCTTAGTCTCTCGTAGCTATACTCCGAGTTATAAATCCTTGGAAGCTATGATAAGAAATGGAGGGTTATTCTTATACCTTCTGAAAAGCACTATTAGCAAGTCGAGGTTATGCC